ATGCGACGGCAGCTCCAGCCGCCAATGAAGTGCCCAATACTCCGGTGGCCAGCCGTCCCACAACCGAGGATCAGCCCCTGGATCTGTCCGTGAAGCGCGACTCCTTGACGCCCAAGAGCGACCACTCCGCCGTGTACGGATTGCCCCAGCAGCAGGCTGCCGGACAGCCAGCCCCCGCCGACTTCCAGGAGGCCATCAACCTGAGTCGCAAGTTCTCCAGCTCGGCCTCCATGTCGCCAGCCTCGCTGTCGCCCTCGTCGGGCGCCTCTCTGCAGCAATCCTCGGCAGCTGCGGCCGCCGCTGCGGCAGCCCTCTGGCCCTTTGGCGGCCAGCCTCCATCGCCGCCCAGCCAGCACGAGGCCACGCCCGCCCAGCACTGCTCGACGCCGCGCGGTGGCCAGGCCTTCCCGGGACTCCAGTACATGCTGCCAATGCAGCGGCTACCCATGGAGGCCCTCTTCCAGATGCGCCCTGGCGGCGAGTACGCCCCCAATCCCCTGATAAACAGTATTAAGATGCCCGACTTCCGCGGCACCAGCCTCAGTCCGGGCGGCTCCGAGAAGCGCTCCTGGCGGGACGACGACTCGCGCATCTCCCACGAGGACGACTTCGGCAACGGCTTGATGCCGCCCAAGCCACGCCGCGGCAAGGCAGAGACCCACGGGCATGCCGGGGATCCGGATCTGCCATTCGTCTGCGACCAGTGCGACAAGGCGTTTGCCAAGCAGAGCTCCCTGGCGAGGCACAAGTACGAGCATTCCGGTGAGTACTCCCCCCTAAAGAGATTCCCAAATGATCCCTCGACTAACCTTTGGCTCCTCTCTTTGTGTTTGTAGGTCAACGACCATACCAGTGCATGGACTGCCCGAAGGCCTTCAAGCACAAGCACCACCTGACGGAGCACAAGCGTCTGCACAGCGGGGAGAAGCCCTTCCAGTGCTCCAAATGCCTGAAGCGCTTCTCGCACTCGGGAAGCTACAGCCAGCACATGAACCACCGTTACTCCTACTGCAAGCCCTACAGGGAATAGGTAAGCGACACCTCAGTGCCGCCCACCTGCGCCTCAGCAGCCGCCTCGGGAACGGGGCCACCGGCGCCCAGCGGTCGCCGTGGTCGCGGCCAGTCAGCCGCCGCCCGATCCCAGGCCAGCAGCAGCACTTACCCGCCGCATCCACATCCGCACCAGCATCCGCATCAGCATCAGCATCCACTGGCGGCCATGGCCGCCTTCCAGCAGCAACAGCAGAGGATGCACCAACAGCAGCAACAGCATCAGCGTCTCTCCTGGCCACCGTCCGTTCCTGGTGCCGGGGTGATGCTGCCACCGCCATCCAATCAACAACAACAGCAACAGCGTCCCACGGCACCGCCTCCACCGCTGCTTTCGGGCGCAGGATTTGGACAGCCGCCACCGCAGTTCTTTCACCATGCCGGCCTGCTGCCTCCGCCACCGCCACCAGCCCCACCATCGGGGGCGGGAAATGTGCGGTTTGCCGCACCACCAACGCCGCCCTCGGGCGTTCCGTCCCACGGCGGGGGTCCCGCCTTTGATTTCTTCAGTGCCAAAATGTTGCTCCACTAGGCACCAGACACTCGGTGCGTGTCTTTGCTAGCCGCGAAACGGTTATGGTGACGGGTGCGTGTCCCGGCTGCAACCTACACTTACCACTAAATGTAAACGATAACAGTGGTCGTTAACAGTGCACTTACATGCTGTACTTAAGAAAAACAGAAACAGAAACGAAACGAAACATAAAAATCTCAAAAATGTGCAGGAACACGTAGAACGGAGATAGAGTGCACCCTAGACAGAGACGGAGACAGAGCGATAGATGAGATATTTTTTATAGCAATATAAACGAAAAGAAGGAAGAAAGAAAAGGAGAGAGCTTGATCGGATCGAAGAGGAGGAGGAGAAACCTTTCGTTGGAGCGAATTTATTATTATTTTTACAATGTTGAATCCATTTTGTTTTTAGTATTTGCTTAGTTAACCACCATTTGTTTTTAGTTTACCGCCTAAGTTCTGGCCAGTTTTTGGCCAGTGCCCAACCCCACCCCCATCCCGAACTCCCTGCCCCACGGATATATACATAGAGTGTATCTATATTTTTGTATACTAGATTTATGTATAGTTTGCCCAGTACCAAGTGCTGCATAATACTCAGAAATACTTTAGTTCCCACTCCTTGATGGAATAAATGTATATTTCTTATAGTTTACATCGATTTATATCGTTTATGTTTAAGCGTTTGAGCCAGGATGGGTTACCATTTGCATTCAATTCCTCAGAAAACACACACACAGAAAACTTCCGGACCAAGCAAACAGATTTATGAACCGCAGACAATACCTACCCCGAGGACTCAAAAGTATTACCCCCCGCGAGAAAACTGTATTAAATACCCCTCTTCAGATGGAAAACCCACCGCTTGCAGCGCGTTTCAAGCTCTTTTACTTAAGGCATACCTCCCCGCCCCAGCTATAATCCTCTCGAACTACGCTTCTAACCCCCCCAACCGCTCGAATCATCGATACAGAGAGGGAGAGAGAACACACCTACTAGATCATTCCATTCGGCCAAAGGCGTGGCCCCCACGCTCGATGGGGGGCTCCCTTATGGGTCGCCTCATGCATTTAGGCCTTCTGCCGGGCTACTGCTAAAGAACACCCCACTAAAACTAAAGCTAACTCTAAACTAAACCACAACTAATATTTAATATATATACGAACCTAACCTAAAACTACAACTAAAGTTAAACGAAAACAAAAACTTAATTTGGCCTTATTAAAGATTATTTAACAATTAAAACATTAAAAACATTAGCATGTAAAAACGAAAAAGAAAAAACCAAAAACCAACCTTTGGAAAAGTCTCTCAGAAAAGTAGTAGGAAAATTCAAAGAAAAACCAAAATACTATTAACCATCAAAATAAAGTGTTTGCCATGACAATAAATTTATATAATGTAAAAGATAATGCTTTCGATTCTAGCTCAAACTTCAACTTCAATTCTAATCGTTTTCCACCTCCGCCTGCGCCTAAGCAAAACTATAATTCTATTATTACGTAATCCAACAAAAATATGTACACAAAAAGGTTTCCCAAACAACGAACATTTTCTTTGTCCAAGGATTTTCTTGCTTTTCCACAGACCCCCCAAAAAAAAAGAGAACAAGAAGAACTCACAAAAAAATGCATTTAATACTTAATTAATTTTTATATATTTGTATTTTAACTGAAGGATCGATCGGTGGCAGGATCGAATGATAAATATATATATATGTGTATATACATATATTTTTTGTAAATTATTTCGCCAAAACACAAAGCTAGAGAATCCAAAAAACAAAACCCAAACAACGCGCTGATTTCGGAAAAAGAAAGAAGAGGCCGCAAAAGTTTTAGCATAAATTTAACAATAATTACTATTACTACAAATGAATACTTAGCCTAGTTAAAGCCCCCCAACTTCCCCCTACTTCCCACTTAACAAGAACAAAATGTTAACTTAAAAAATTTAAACTAAAGAAACTAAAAAAAAAATTTATTTTTAAGCGCAAATATTTTGTGGTTTGTGATGGGAGTCGATGGATATTTGCACTCTAGGGCCTTATATGAGATACACAACACACACGATTGTTAGTTATTTAAAGGATAAACACTTAATGGAAAGGATTGAGAGCCTTGCATCGTTTTTACTATATACCTATATGTTCCAAACTACTACCTTGTTTTCTACTCCCCACCCCCAAAGAACACTCTCTGTTAAAGTTGTTTCACCCTCAAACACACACACACAAACACTCTTTATGTAAATAAGCCACAGATATAGTATATATGTATATGTATTTAGTATATATGTATAGAGGATATATGCGGAGCAGAAAGCAGTCGAATGTATTATTTGTTTTATTCATATGTTCAACAATAGAGCGATCCCTAAATTAAGCGAAAGCCAAGCCTCAGCATCAAATGTTCATTTTTTAATTGCTCTACAGAGAACACCCGCTAAAAGAAACACACAAGAAAATACTACACCAAAAGAGAGTTGAAAAAGAGAGAGAGAGAGATAACGATTCAGATAACTTATATTTCAAATATTACGCATAAATGTATTTTAATCAAAGTAAGCAAAAAAAAAAACGAACGATTCAATGATTCAATGGATAAAAACACGCATTCATATAAATGAATAAAACCTTTTTGTCTTGATAAATTTACAAAAAAACAAAACAATTATTATAATTATTAAATTTACAATGTGAAAATAATAAATACCAAAAAAAAAAACAAAAAATGAAATTATTAAAATTTAAAACAAATGATTTCTTATTTTCGGGGAATCCTCATGTGGAAGGGGGCTAAGGGATGGTTTTGGAAATTTCTGATCAAAATGGGCCTACCACTATTCAGTTTTACGAATTCTCCAAGATATACTCAAAGATGCTGATTCAGAATATACGAACATATGTATGTATGTACATATGTATGTTTGTTTGTATGTATGTGTGTATGTATGTATGTACATATGTATGTATGTATGTTTGTATGTATGTATGTATGTTTGTTTGTATGTATGTTTTGTTTGTATGTATGTACATATGTATGTATGTACATATGTATGTATGTTTGTTTGTACCCTGCAGTACGGGTAAGCGATGTGTAAGCAACCACACATCGATGGCAACGTCATGCAGCTCGATGACATAAGCGATGACCTGCCATACGATGGGCTGTTTACTTTAACACAGGGATGTCCTAGGAGCATAATCGATGACATAGTAAGCGAGAATTAGCCGAAAGTCAGGCCTTAATAAGCGATGAATTTCCCTTAAAAAGTAAGGCCCTAATAAGTGATGTATTTAAGTAAAATTTTTTGATATTTTGATGAAAAAGGCATGGGTAAATTCTGTTTTAAAGTATTAAATTTCTTTTATTTATTGTTTTCTTATAAAAATGTATACATATTCACATTTTTGTGCTGTGTGTTCTTTTTTCCACAGAACCTTTTTAGTTTTTTTGATTTGCTCATGATCGTAAGGTCGTCGTGGTCATTCAACTGAATCGCCTTTAAAATAAGATGGGTTAATTAAAATATTTTTCAATTTGTTAACAATGCTTTAGTAGATCAGCAGTGCATTTGCGCCAAAAGCAAAACACTCGCCAAGATATGTACCTGTTCGACTCAAGACTCGCAAGAACCAATCGGGTGGTTTTTTTCTGTTTTCGTTGTTGGAAATGAAAAATTTCGTCCAAAAATTTAATTTCGCACTATCACATTTTCTTCATTTTTTACAACGCACAATAGACTATTTTTAATTGAATGAAACACTGCACTTACCTGATAATAATTTTGCCCAAAATAAACAAAACCTGCGTCTCACTTTTCACCGCATAATTCTAACAACGTTGTCGATGCCGACGGCAAAACCGAATTCTGTTACGGCACGAGTCGTAACAGAAAGAAACAAAGAAAAAAAAGAGTTGTCAGACCGACGCGTCGATCGCGACGTCGACGTCATATTCTACTCGTCTGTTGCAGCGGCAGAGAAAAAATCTTGAATGACGCGTAGTTGACATTTGTCATCGCTCACTTCTGGTACTGCAGGGTATGTATGCATGTACATATGTATGTATGTTTGTTTGTATGTATGTATGTACATATGTATGTTTGTTTGTATGTATGTATGTTTGTTTGTATGTATGTATGTTTGTTTGTATGTATGTACATATGTATGTTTGTTTGTATGTATGTACATATGTATGTATGTTTGTTTGTATGCATGTGTGTATGTATGTATGTACATATGTATGTATGTTTGTTTGTATGTATGCATGTACATATGTATGTTTGTTTGTATGTATGTATGTATGTATGTTTGTATGTATGTATGTATGTATGTTTGTATGTATGTGTGTATGCATGTATGTACATATGTATGTATGTATGTTTGTTTGTATGTATGCATGTACATATGTATGTATGTATGTATGTACATCTGTACTCCTCCATTCCTCGTTCTCGTTCCTCGTTTTGTGTTGAATTCAATACATACACGTTTTTATATACATTTTTTGCTTTCCATTTATTAATTTGTTTTAGTAAACTAATTGGCCAAGGCACACACAGAGTTGGTTTGTATTTTCCCCTTCAATTAGCTCGATTTCTCATCTCACATTTAATATATATACTACATATTCATACATAATTAGATAGATAAAATATATACTATATAGATATTCATATAAAAAACACACGCACATACAAACTGAGGCTAATTTGAATGGGGAAACCGAAACACGTTTACATTACACACACTTCAGGCGTTTTCCAAAACGCCAAAAAATACGACAAACAAAAAACTGATGTACTCTCGCGCCTTATGTGTTAGGAATTAAACTAGATTATGGTTAGGCGGTTGGTTCTTCTATAAACTAAAAAACATCTTAAACGGTACACAACTTTAGCATAAATAAAAATGTATTGCATATATACTATATATAAGGTGTAACTATGCATAAGGATTAAAATGTAGGCTGCTTTACAATATTACAATAACTCCTCCTCCTCTCCTCCATTCCTCGTTCTCGTTCCTAGTTTTGTGTTGAATTCTCCTTCCTCTACATTCATTCTCATTTAAACAATTTGATTTGGCATTCAACAAGTTGGTCTAACATTGCTATAGATACTTAAAGTATACAATATATATAAAATAGATATAGATATATGTAGGTATCTCTTAGTTTGTTCTTGTTTTTGTAGGGTTGTAGATGCTGGACACAAGTTTGAAGACATTTCAATAATGAGCAGTGACAGAGATGGGCGTGGGCGTGGGTTCGTAGATAGAATAGCGCAGAGTGGTTCTGTTAGATTAGATTAGGCTTATAAGACCCGCTTATATCGCTATCGCTCAACTTATGGTCGCCAATCGATGATGTTCCGTGTCCATTCTGAATCTGTGGTGTGGTTTGGTGGGAGATGGCATGGACTAACCAGCCTGCTGAATTAGTTGCCATCCATCGATTGGTCGCCTGGTCCCCTGGTTTTGGGTTGTAGAGTGGATTGGGCTTAGGTAAATTCGCTTCGCTCAGTGTATATATATAGAGGGTAGAGTTCTCGTTTTAAGGCATTCTTGTTTTTTTTTTTAGCTTTGAGCACCAGAAATTGGTTCGATTCTTTCAGGTTCTTGCACGCTTAATAGACTGCAGAACGTAGATATGTAGATATATCTGTGGTTTAGAAAGTATATTCAAAATTTATGACTCGTTCTCGCGTTCCCTCTCATTAACTTTTTTAATTTTTCTCTTTAAATTTATTCAGTTCATGCACTCAAGCATATGATATATTTGTATTTATATGTGTAGTTCCCCCTCTTCTCTCCTTCTTTCTTCTACTTTCTCCTATAAATTATATAATCTATATAGTTTCATTCTCCTGTGGGCTGGTCGTCACACAGCGGACTCTCCTTTGTGACTATTTGACTAACAATTGATTGGGGGTGTGGTGGGTTCGGGGCTAGTGGTGGTTCGGAATTCACACGTAGACCGGCGCCTGATCGTCTGTCATATCCGGCTGTTGTTTGTCGTCGAAGAATCTCCTAAAGGTAAATTCGAAAAATCCATGGAATTGCCTGTCGTTTAGCTCGATGTCGTCCCCGCTGCTCATGTTCGAGTCGTTGGAACGCAGTTTGTCCGGATCCACCGGATCGAAGTTGGACGTGTCCGTGGGATGCTTGATCTCGGGTATGAAGGGCGCCTTCTGCTTCCGCATGTCCGCAAAATCGATTCCCTTGAAGAAATCATGGCTTTTCACCTCGTCCACGCTCTTGCCCAACCGCTTGTCGGCCGATGCACAGAGCCGGCGAATCAGATCGGTGGCCTCTCGCGAGAGCTCTGCCTGCGGCGGTATATGCAACGATTTCTCCCAGTTTATGACCTGCAAAGGGGTCGAAATCAAAATCGTTATAAAACCCATCTTCCAGTGATATATCAATCGTTTGTTCCACCTTCTGTTGTGTTTCCAGTGGGGTATTGGCCAGGAAGGGCGGCTGCCCCACCAGCATCTCGTAGAGAATCACTCCGACGCTCCAGTAGTCGCACAGCTGCGTGTAGCCGCTCCGCTCCAGCACCTCGGGCGCTATGTAGTTCGGTGTCCCCACCAGCGAGTGGGCCAAAACTCTTTGGTGATCGCGCATTCGCCGTCTACGGGATCACAAAGATTTAATGATTAAGCAATAATCAAGAGGCGATTCATGGACATGGACTTACCGCTCCAGCACAGTGGGTTTGGGTCCATTCTCCGAGTAATCCTCCCAGGGTTCCATCGAGTCCTGACGCGAGTGATTGCCTATGCGGTTCGAGAGAATTATAAGAGCTCTGTTTCCGTTTGATCTCTTGCCTTACCATTCTCCTGATAGTACTTTGAGTTATGCGTCCATCGGAATCCCGTGCATAGGCCGAAATCGGTGAGTTTTATGTGTCCGACACTGTCGATGAGTATGTTGTCAGGTTTGATGTCTCTGCGAGAAGGAGATCAGGGAATATATAAGTAACATTTAAAGATTTTAATCATTACGATATTGGAAAAAAAGGAAAAAATTGTTAGGTAGTGGATTAATATCAACTATCAGAAAGGCAGTTCCCTAATGCATTCCATAAAATGAGGTTATATTCTATATTTGAGGGATTCAATAGATTATATATTTGGGGTACATATTTGCTATATCAAATATGCAAAATCATTTCGAATGGGGGCAGTAATTGAATACATAATTAAGGATTGGATGAGATCAGATATTGAAGGTGAAATCTAACAAAATTTTCTCTCAAAGTGAATTTGAATTTAGCTAGAAGAATGTCTTTTCTAATATAATCAAATATCTCCCTTTATAGCGAGTTGTAAAAAGAATCATTACAATGGCTTAATGTTTAAAATCGACGTATTTATCTGGATCTAAACAGTCTCGGAACACTACCAATTCCTTAGGCACAGCTCCAGGCTGAATTACCTGTGAATGAACCCCATTTTGTGTACACTGTCCACGGCGCAGGTGACTTCTGCTATGTAGAAGCGGGCCAGCTCCTCCTCAAAGATGCCCAACTTGATCAGCAGCGACATGAGATCGCCACCTAAAGAGAACAGACGACAGATTAGCGATAGGTTAATATAGATAAGGGCTGGCTTACCGGGTATGTAATCCATCACAAAGTATAAATTATCCTTATCCTGAAAACTATAATAGAGCTTCACGACCCAATTGTTGTCGGCCTCGGCCAAGATATCACGTTCGGCTTTCACATGCGCCACCTGGTTGCGCTTGAGGACATCGGCCTTGCGTAGCGTCTTCATGGCGTACAGATGATTGGAAGTGTCGATCTTGCGGACGAGCGTCACCTCCCCAAAGGCTCCCACGCCGATGGGCTTGATCTTCACGAACATGCTCTTGTCCATCTTGGCCCGCTTGAGGCGGATGTAGTTGCTCTCCTTCTGGTTGAGCATCTTCCGCATCTCGATCTGCGTCTCGTCCGGTAGCCCAACCTTGAGCATCTCCTTCTCCAGCTGGTTCTTGCGGTAGGTGCGCTGGCGGTACGACTTGATCACGTTCTCGATGTGCTGCTCCATGAAGAACTTGAAGGCCTGCGGCGAGTACTGCCGCATGCGACCCTCCTTCCGCTCCTCCTCCTTCTCCTTGGAGATCTTCCGCTCAGGTATCGGCGACGCATGCTTGATCTTCTTGCAGGCGGCAGCGGCGGCCTTTGCTCCCGAAGAGGATGCTGTCGACGTGGATCCATTGCTTCCACCCGAACTGTTCGCTCCCGCTCCGCTGTACTTGGCGGGTGGTATTGGTGGCGTGGTGGCAAGGTTGCTGTTCGTGATCTGAATGTTGTTATTGTTGCTGGCGGGTTTAGTGTCGTTATTGTTGTTGTTGTTGCTACTCTGGTAGGGGGGTGGGGGTGGCAGCTGTCTGCCAGGATTGCCATTGCTCGCCAGGGCTGCCTTCTGCTGCTGTTGTTGTTGTTGTTGTTGTTGCTGCTGTTGGGCCTGCGCTTGCGCCTGAGCCTGAGGGAGAAGAAAGGATATATCGAATTTAGTACCAAATGTCGATAATTGCTCGCATATCTCGATATCCTTACCTGTGCCTGAGCCTGCGCCTGGAGTGCTCTCAACGCTTGGAGCTGCTGCTGTTGCTGCTGTTGTTGTTGCTGCTGCTGTTGCACCTGCACCTGCTGCGGATGCACAACGGCGGCCTTGGCCTGCATGCTCTTGGCATATGAGGGAGGCTCCATG